GCTCCTTTAAGGGTTTAGGGGTTTAGGGTTTAGGGCTTAGGGGTTTAAGGGTTCCTTTACGGGATCTATACGGGTGCTACACGGGTGTAGGGTGTATTGGGATCTGCTGGAAAACCGTTTTTCTGATGTGATCTCAACCACACGGCCTGGGATCGAAAATCGCCGCCGCCTCCTAGGTGAACTTTGTGAACCTCCGTGGCTGGCGCTTGTTAGTGCCCGCGATTTGTGCGGCAGCTTAGGGCATGGGACCTCACAGCTTGGACATGTGATGGCGCAAGGTCTGAGGGTCGGGAGTGCATGTTGGAACTCCGTATCGAGTTGTGCACAAACAGAATAAAGCTTTGGGATGCGCTTCCGAAGCCAAGCGGGCAGGCGCAATACCGAGCCCCGGTAGACCTCAAGAAGTGTCTGTGAGGCTGAGGATGTGGCTTAACTTCAAAAACGAATCCTCGAAGCAAAGGCCACGGAACTCTATGAAGCGGCATGTGATGCAAAACAACTGAAACCCAACCGAATACACAAAAAATCAAGCAGCCAGCCGAATAACAACAACAATAGTAGTAAAACCTCTGAAACGACGACTAAGCACTCATGATTGTGGAAAGGCGTAGAAACATAAGCGCCATAAAAGATGTACAAATAAAGTGCCCCTGTAGTGCCCCCGTATGTCTGTATCGTAAACTTGCATTAGCATCAGCATCATCTGTCATCTACCCCCCCCCCCAACCCATGCCTTATCCATACTACTGCCACTAACACCACGACGACGACCACAACGACGACTACTACTGCGACTAGCATTACTACTAGTAGTACTGCTACTACTACTACTACTACTACTGCTACTACTACTACTACTACTACTACTACTACTACAACAACTACCACTACCACGACTAGTATTACTACTACCACCACTACCACTACCACTACCACTACCACTGCTGCTACTACTACTACTACTACTACTCCTACTCCTACTACTACTAATACTAATACTACTACTACCACTACTACCACTACTACTGCTAGCTCCACGACTGAGCCTGTTCTCATTTCACTGCTGAGTTTTTGAAAGGTCCGATGCCGACCTTCGGGCGGCTGCGGCAAAGCACACGATGCTGACATGGCAGGGAGGGACAGCAGACCTTGCATCTAAACCCCTTCATGTGGTGTACTCAGAGTGATTCTGGGAAAGTTATGCCGTTGGCTTGTTGACCACTTGCATCGCTCAAGTTTTGTCAATTTCATGTGAAGCGAGATTGAAGTGTGACTGAGAAGTTGGGCACGCGCGTCTGGATTAGAATGATTGTGGGGCTTTGACGATTGGCTCTTGGGCAGGTCACCTTCAGCAGTCTTGGAGAATCTCCCCGTGGTGGACCGTGCAGAGGCGGAGTGACTTTTCGGTTTCAAAAGGTTTGGAGTGTAAGAAACAGCTCCAGTCGGCTTACAAATCAGAATCAGAGTCGTCGCAACAGCAAACATAATGCTGAAGGGGCGTGAGGGGTTGTAAGAGTTATCGAAACACATTAAGCAGTCCTTCTGCAGAATGGATTCCACGAGGTCGCCTTTCTGCCGAGGCCCGAATATCGTGAGGGGGGTTCGAACTCTGCCGAAGTTCTCTTGCACACTTCCTGTCCCCACAGTCCGGACTCTGGACCCCACTTGGACCTTAAGCCTTCCACGTTGAGGGTGCTCAGCCATAACGCCTCTGGAGCCTAAGCCAAATCCTTTACCTGTTAAGTGCGGACAAGCGCGACAGGGCGTTTACGTCTACGACTCCACGGGCAAAAAGTACTTGGACTGGACCTCTGAAGCTGTCTGTGTTAATCTCGGCCACACAATGCCCGAGACGGTTCTTCGCCTGCAGATGGTGCTCCGAATTCACTGAGTGACTGAGTGTATGGGTTATCTGAACCACCCGGGCGAGTTACAAGGGATCACGTTTTTTCTGGTATTTCATCAGGCGTTCACCCGTTCCAATTGCCGCCTGCAGTTCAAGAACATGCCATGTTTGTGGAACAAGCGGTGCATGAACTGCACACGGTTTGGTTTTCCCAAACAGTGCGGTTCTTTCCATACATGTACATAATGTGTGAATATGTGCCAGTCTATATCTTTCCATCCAGGTTTGCATCTATGTTTGGGTTTAGATACTGTATCTATTACAAGTGCCAAATGTTCACTCTATCTATGCCACGGCAAAAGAGTGATCTACGGACACGATCAAATAGTCGTACACATTGACAAAGAACTTACATGCACACTTGCAGAAAGACAGTTTACACCGAATTGAAGTCCAATGTTTATGATTTATGAGCCACGCTGCTCGGCTGTTTCGGCCTCCCGACATCGTCACCTGCTACAACAGTGCATATGTTTGGACGAATCGTGTTTCCGCTTTCCCAATATCGTGCTCCCGCCAATGCCGCTGACCGAAGTCATGCTCCGGCCACTTGGAGGGGGGCTATCCTCAGAAACCTTATGCATGTGTACACATGTCTGGCTGATTTGTAAGTGTTCAGTGTTAAGCATATCTGCAATTACATGCATGTGGTTGTATGCCTTATGTGTTCGAATTCTACCTGTCTAGTCTGCACACGCCGCAGAGGCACATACTCGTATCCTGCTAGGTCTGCTTCCCTCGGCTGCCCACATGTTTGCTGGGCTGCATCACCCGCAAGCAGGTTACGGAATCCGGACCGTTAAACAAGCTCAGTGGCTGTGAGAACGGCTTTTCGAAGCCAATGGCACAAGAAATCGCCGCAGAAAACAAGTAGTAGATGGTGCATTGGTTGCCCGAGCCATCTAGACATTTTCGCAAGGCAAGTTACTACAATGCAGAAACAAAAAGCACGAGGTCAAGGCTGCTATGCGGGACCAGATGGAGAAAGCATCCTTTATCTACGGCGGCATGGGCGACTACAGCTGGCATTAGAGTCGTCAATCTCTTGCAGGGTCTCGGAGTTGAGCGTTGTTCTTGCCATTCCAGGTGCAAGCCCCGCCCGCTTAAAACCTACTGTAAGGTCCCATCAGCCAGCCATGTGGAAAATTGAGCTTCCAACCTTTTACCCACAGCTCTGCCACTGCAGACTCCGGCTGCAAATTCCTAATCTCCCTGATCGGACTTGACGATCCAAAACACCCTCGAGATCCTAGTCGTGAGGCCAATTCACAGCCCCGAAATCTAGGTTAAAGTATGAACAACAGTGCCCGAACCCTCTTAGTATCAAAATTCGCCCATAGTGCTTTCAGGCCCGCCCATATTCCGATGAGTGAATTTTTCCAACTGAACCTACCCGAACCAGATCCCAGAAAGCTGGCAAGGCCTGGTCGAGGTGCGCGTGCGCTTGGCGTCACTGCTTGCAGATCTGGCCCCGGGTGACATCAACGGCGGCCTGGGACGAAGGGCCGAAGGGTAGCATGATACAGCAAAAACACAGTCAATGGCATGGTCAGCATCACCAATAATGATACGGCCAACGGCAGATCCAAGTAGTTCCTGGGGCTGAAATGACTTATGGGTTTTGCTCCTGGGGTGTTTAGGCATTCGGGGTGTGGGTTTGAGCCCAGGCCTTCTTCGACCAATTGTCTACAACCGATTGTCTGGTGCACAAACCTCTTAACTGTAAGGAGGAGCTAACACAGTGCCCTGATTGAAGAAGCCGATCCTCTCAAAAAGATGTTATCGCTGATGTAGTCTACGTGGTTTCGATTAGAGTCTTTCGTAACTGTGTGTTGAGCAATCAAACTTTACGAATTGTCGCTCTTCAACGAAAGACTGTTTTAGACTCACCGGACAGACAGCCCGTGAAAAGCACCGAAGAAATCTTTTTAGCAACAGTCTGCCTGAGGCTTTCTGGAGCTGTGCTGACAGGCCGTTATTCCCTAAACCCGGGTTTCCAAGAGGTCCTTGCACTTTGGCACGTTAGAGTTACATTAAACTCTATCCCTTCCAAAACAGGCAGGAAATCTGGGCAGCGCTTCAGCTGAGGCTTTTTGTTCCCTTCTTCGGGCGGCGAGGCGAACGATTGCGCCATTCGACTGGCGCGGCTCTACACAGGCTCATAGGGCAGAGGAAAGTGACAGGATCCGTGATACAAGCCGGCGCCCTTACGGGTAAAGATTTTGCTTAGGCTCCCATGGGATCATGGGAGTAGTTACCATCAGCAAAAGCAGTACCAGCGGCGGCAGCAGCACAGATACACTGTTTTTTTGATGCGCGTGACTATTATAAGAGCTCATTTGAGGTAGCAGTGGCGGCAGCGGCAGCGGCAGCAGCAGCAGCAGCAAGCACAGAGCAGCGGTCGTATCAGTCGTCGACCTCGTGCTTGTACTGCACCTGCAAAACCATTTGAGGTCGATGCGTTGGTTTACAGGTTACAAGAACAAGCTGTAAGGTTCATTTGAGGAGCTACTTCGCTATTGCTTAGGGAGGTCCGACTCAGCTCAGGCTGCCGAAGAAGTTATGTGGAAAGTCTTTGCTGAGCCAGGAAAGACAAAGATCTTCAACCAGTACCGCTCGTACCATGGTGGCTCACTTGGACCTCTTGGTGCGACAGGACTCCGCAATCGTTCATGCCCTGAAAACCAAGGGCGTTGAAAACGAGACTCTGCGCCATGAGCATTGTCACCGACATATAATGCTGCTGCAATTGGACACATGCCCCAAACCAAAATTGGTGCTTCGAGAAGTTGTGGTCTCACTGTCCTGGCAGAAGATAGGCAGAGGTTTGGAGGATTTCGGGGCTTCAGTCTTGATGGCCAACCCATGCACAGTGCAAACCCTCCAGCCTAATTTAGCTCCGCCCGCAAGGCACCAGCTCCAAAGCCACCCCGGTCCCTTGTTCCGCAACCCTAAGCCTGCGACGAGAGAGCCTGGGGAAGGAGACTTCCGCAGACACTTCGCCGGAGACTCTGCCACGGGATTTATCAAGATGACCCACGGCTTGCAACCCCCTTTAGAGGAGGGTCTGTCGTGTGGAAGAGACTGAAGCTGTGGTCTTCTGTTAACATCTACATTCAAGGTCAAGGATGCAGGATGTCAGGCTGAATAGCTTTGCGCTTCGGGCCGATCGCAGGTCCAATGTGTTGATTGAACCCACACTGGCCTTGTTTGTGCCTTGAGATTCAGGTTCAGCATGTTGACGCAGAGCCACCATTTCTACAAGTGGATTCCGGCTAGACTTCTATTCTACTACTATTGCTCGAACTCCTGCTGTTGCTGGAAACGCTGAGCGCTGTATGTCGCTCAGAGGAGTCCTGCTCATGATCTAGGGCTTTAAGGTTTTTGAAATGTAATTGTTAGTAGCCGGGGCTTGCAAAATGCAGGTCTCCAAGCTTTATTTGATTTGGGCAGGCCCGAAACCTCAACCCTGAAGCAGCGCGCGGGGAGTGACAATGGAAGAGTCACGGGTTGAAGTGTTGAGCATCTGAGGTTCAACCCGGAGCCGCACTACTTTCGCTGGGGAGAGACGGCACCTTGCTCTTGTCATTGTTGGTGCTGTCGGAACTTCGGCTCCGGGGAAGCAGATGTTTCGATAAACCCTGTCGCGCAAGCCCAATATCAGGCTCCCTGAAACCAGTAGAATGACTTTCTGTGGTTTTACTAGAGCTGCTGTGAAACCAAGAAACCTGCACTCATGTTGTTTGCCATGTTCTGCAAAAGGGACACTTAGCCTCACATCGTTCGGAGCACAAACATCGAGCGTTGGTTCGATGAGGCACGTTTCGAAGCAGGACAGGAAGCGCTCAGTCAACCCTGCCCGCCCGACCTCTTTCCGCTATTTGCCTCGCCGAATACCCGGCCAAACCCTCAAGTTTGAGTCAGATTCAGCCACTGCTACGCCAAGGACGAGGCAGCTTGTGACATGGCATTGGCATGCTTGGAGGACTCCCGAACTCAGTTTTCACTTTGGTCGTTTCATCACAGCTCAGCTTGTAGCAGTATAGCACATGGCCTGATGTGGAGATGTCGCGAGGGGTTAAGAGGAAGCACTCGTTTGGACCACGAAACCCCGAACACTGAAGTGAATCAAGCACCCATCAAGTGAAACTCTTTGCTCTCCTGCCCAATAGAAGATGAAGGCAAGTTCTGAGGACTGTCATGCGGTGACTGTTCAAGACTCTCCGGGCCGCAGGAGCAGATCGTGGCAGAAGGCTCCGAAGACATGTGTCTAGAGGAGAGGGGCCGAAATTCCTGGAAGTCTCCTCTGCAATTTTAACATGTGGGCAGGATTCGGAAATTGAGCCACTGCTGATGCCATGCTCGTATCTCTGCCTTGACCAAACCTCATCGGAGGTAATGACCATACCGGAGAACGCCAATATGTTTGCTTGGTAGACAAGAGAACACTCATACCAATTGTAGCATTTTCTTGCTTCTGGCATGCATTTCATGGAACAGCAGGCCAGGGCTGGAGATTTGTTAATACACAGTTGGTCACGCACTTCTAATGATCGTGACAATAAATGAAGTCGTGGTGATGATGGTTATATTCTAGCATATAGGTGACGCTGTGATGGTGACGCTGCGACTGTGGTAAGCAGGTCCTTCCACCATCGCTGCGATCATGATCGAAAGCATCCCCGGTTCAGCTGGTGTGCTGCAGCTCGTCGTCTTCTCGGGCGCAACGTTCAGGGTCCTAGAGAAATCGAGTTTCACTTCATGGCTCTTAGATTTTGGCACAAGTGTGGTGTAGGCTTGCGCATTTCGGTGCAACACTGGCCTTTCGCTCCGCTGAGTGTAAACCTTGACGGCGAGGCCTTGGGCCCAATCCCTCAAACCCAACGTACCTTCAAGACATGAAACGCCTCTTACCTCCTCGTAGGAGCAATGCAGGGCCCGCAGGCCGTAAACCTCAGACGATCACCAAACCCAGAGCCTGAAGCCGAATCAGCTACCATCTCTGACAAGCAAAGCCTACTGGGCTGAGGCTCAGGAATCGTGCTTTGCTCGGTAGCATGATATACAGGTAGCATGCTATGTTGCTTTATGATCGAAATTGGATCGTCATGAAGTCTTTCGTCATTGTCTCTTCTCAGCAGCATCTTTGCTACCAAGAGCCAGAAATCCGCAGCCTTCACAGTTCCTATCAACCTCCAGCCAGTACGGCTTAAGATTCTGGGTATGTGGTGGGCTCTGAAACTTTAGGGTATAGGGCTTAGGCTCTCCAGACCTACACTAGCAGAATTGTAAGTTCAGGTTTCGGATGTGCATGCAACAAAGGATACCGGCCGTCGGCTACATGGAAGGCCCCGGCGGGGATGGAGGATTTCTTTAACGTGGGTTCAGTTTTGTATGATGGGAAAGCGTTCTTACCAAGGTCTGTAGGGCCCGCAGGGCCTGCCTCCTAGTTAGTGTGGTAGTGGGTCCTTCTTATGTGAGGTTCTCGGCATTCGAGTGTTAGCGAGTGCAGAGCTTCCGTCGAACGTCGATTGGCACAACAAGAAAGCTCTATGCTGGGAGGTATCCGATCGCTGTGCGACAAGTACGGCATCCTCATGATCTGCGATGAGGCTTTTCACCTAGGGCGTCAGGCTTCCAAAACCTCGACCTAGCCAATTAGTCTAATCCCAAGGCGCCTTCAATTCTACTTCACTGTCTTGTACTCCATCTAGCCATGTGCCGAAGACTATCAATGGAGCAGCTTCTTTGCAGTGAAGTACGGGCACTTTCCTGAAACAAACCTACCTGAGTCATCAGGTCCATGCTATACGGTGCTTGTCTTCTATAGTGCAATTGCTGTAGTTGTTGCAGTAAGGACGACGGCCGCAGCGAGCTACAAACTACCTGCTACCTATCACCTACCAGCAAACACTTCTTGCAAGTCTATACTATCTACTGCCAACTCTGCCGATCCATTCAACCGGAGCCTTGCATGTGATAGCCCTACATGTTAGTATGCCACTTTGTCGTCACTCGCATGACTGTCACTTGGGCGGTGACACCCTGCGGGTGGCCAGGTCATGACCGGCTTCGGACGCACGGGCGAGCTTTTTGCTTTCCAGCACTTCGAAGGTACTCGAACTTCTGATGGGAACGGCCTCTAGTGCGCCTTTGAATTGCTTTTATCCAGTCTTCATCTCGGTTACTTCGTGTCGGGCTTGGGTGCAGTAAGGCCGAAATCTTCCGACTTCGCAAGGAGGGGCCCAGGACTCGAGAGCTTGATTCTAGATTTTTCGAAGCAGCGCTGTAGGAGAGGGACAGGTAAGGTTCGAACAAGTGCCTTGCACCACTCAATGTAGCTCTTATGTCTGGGTTTCGGCATTGCCAAAGGTCTATCCAGTTGGAACCAGGCCTGTTTCCTTGGCTCCTCCAACAGCTCATGAGCGCGAACTTACATAAAGGCAGCTTGCCGGTTTGCTCCGGTTTGTATTGTTGGCATGTAGATCTATGGGCCCGACCGAAGGCGTCATTCCCGACATTGTCACGAGTGCCAAGGGTTTGACGGTGGCTCGGCAGGACTTGGGCCCGGCGTCTCGCGTCTCTTTGTTTGCTGGTCTCCATCGTTTCCTTATTTGCGAATACCGGGTAGACACCGTGGAAGTATGATGCTAGGCGATTACAACGGCGTGATTTACTTGCACATCCAATAGCTTGATTGAGTGCAAGAATGCCAAAAACAGTCTTCATGACCCCCACTACATTTCTGCAGCAGCTTCAAACGACAGAAAGGTCCTACACGTGATTCAGAATCTCATTGTGTAGGCACGAAGTGCTTTGTTAGAAACCAGGTGACAAGAGAAATTGAGTCCCTAAACACTGCCCGGCCCTCGACCTTGGACTCAATTGTTCCCAAGACACGCCCCAAATCCATGACTAGGGCTCCTGGCAGCCGCTTTCCGTTGTCGGCGTGCGCCGCGCACCCATGTGGCAGCTTAGGACGTGAGACTGAGAGATGTTGTTGGATGCTGCTAAAATCACCGGGGGATGATGGCAATCTAGGTCCAGAGCGAGTCGGAATCGCAGTTCGGTGAGGATGACCATGCGGGAAAGGTAGCATCGGAGGAGGAAAGGAGTGTTGGGGGGCGGGGTGGGGGGGGTGAGGGCGATCGTGATGATTGTTTTGAAAAATTGCGGTATTGATCATGGCCCAGACGACGATGATGATAATGACGATGAGTTTTTGGTTTTTGATTGTGCGCTGAACGAGGAATCTCGGTCCGTTGCGGGCGTAAGGTGAGATTGTCCCGCGGCACTTCTGGCTTTCTAGTACTAATCTGCTGTTGGGTGTTGGTGGTCCACGAGCGACAGACTGCAGAGGAAAGGAAACCCCACCACAAAATCACAAAACATTGATGATGATGACGATGATGATGATCATGTTGTTGATGATGATGATGATGATGGTGATGGTGATGGTGATGGTGATGGTGATGGTGATGGTGATGGTGATGGTGATGATGCTGATTATGATGCTGAAGATGATGATGATTGGTGTTGGTGTTGTCTTGTTGTGGTCTTTCGGTGGCGGGTGTCTGGGGCTGGGGCTGGGGCTGGGGGGTGTCGGTGAGGGTGTGGGTGTGGTTGTGGGAGTGTCTCTGAGTGGCTATGGCCGGTCGCCTGGGTCGCAAAGCGAGGTCAGAAGCTGAAGGACTTCTTCTGGGCACAGCCTCCCGGCTGGGGCTCCACATTCCAGGCAGGATCAGACCGCAACAGCTTGCGCTCGGCTCGGGGTAGCGCAGTTTTGGAGCCAAGAAGTCAACATGTAGGCTTCGAGAAACTTCAGGCATGGAGGTTTGTGTCAGATTTTGATGTAGGGTTCGGGGCTTGCTCCGTTAACAAAAGGCATCCGACGCCCCTTTGCCCACCAGATGGTTCTTCCGTTTGAAAAACGATAGCTTACAGCCTTGGTTTTGAAGAACAGCCACTTGCAACAGGCACTGTGCTCTACTACGTATGCCCTGCTTGAGAAAATACTTCGGTTCCAAGACCTATCGGCTGTGCAAGCACGTTTCACTAGCGGCAGTGACCCCAAAATGCGTCCTGCCCCTGCTCTCCAGGCTCTTCGACCCGCTCAGGTCCAAATCCCTGAAACAATAAAGTCCATAACCTCTATGCCTCCTAGTGTTCCTTCTCTGCATGCATGGCACCCAACCCCAATCCATGCCCTTTGAAAGCATGGATTTAGACTTGAAGGCGCACCCCGTGGCTATGGCTTGCGGATATGCTGCAGTGCTCCTTCTCAGCAATTAAGAGTGCCGCTCTGCAGATTTTCAAACGTTGGATTCACTGGATTATGCACAACCAAATAGCTGGGTACATGGCAAACCCCTGCCTTTAAGACTTCAACCTGCACAAGTGTCAAACTACGGGCCCACGTGAAGGATCCGGTTCACGGTGCAGCGGTGTTAGCTTTCCGGCGACAGGCCGAGTTTCGGTTTTCACGGTCGTGAGGAGCCAGATTCACAGGGTCCCAAAGCTGCCCGAACAAGCACCAGGAAGCACATGCTCGACACGGACATCTTGAACAACGTGAAGGGGGTGATCCAGCCTGTGATGATCGAGGTCTGAGCTTTCGCTGAAAACACGAAACTGTCATTCCCAACAGTGTGGAGCTTTTCGAGGCGTCCCTCGATGCCTAATCTTGAACTCTGGACAGGAGCTCGACCGTCTCGTGCAGAAGTACGACTTCGTGAAGCAGGCTCCATCGAACCCCATTCTATCTTCTTCTATCTTCTCTTGCGGTCAGCTTTCCCATTCGCCCCCAGGAGGTTTTTAGTTTGAGCTATTTCTGGATTCTGAGGTTCAAAGCTACCAAAATCTCCACAACAACAAGCTGATCTCCAAATCCCTATAGCTAATCGCCGGCCGCTCCAATTGAAGAGTGGCACCTTCCGGAGCTCTTCATGCCTTCCTTGCCCAGAGGTCCTTCTAGTCCGAGGGGAGGGGGGTTCAAACCTGTTTGCCCAGGAAGGAATAACTTTTTGAGTTTCGGAGTCGTTTGAACCCAGGGTTCGGAACCTAAAACCTAGCTTGACGAGATTAGAACCTAGGTTGAACGAGGTGAACCTGGGTTCGAACAACCCTCCCCTTCCGGAGGGGGGAGAACAACAACAACCCTCAGGTCAGGGTTCAGGGTTGGGTTTAACCCAGGTTTAAACCCAGGTTCAACCTGGGTTCGAACTCGTTGCGACTGTCAACAATTAAGACAGACACAAGCAATATCCTGCCCAGGATGCCATCTGGGCGTGGTAACCTGCCGGGGGAGCACTGAAGTGACGTAACGTCCTACAGCTACCCGGAAACTCAAGACCGTGCTCAGAAACCCCACAATCCCATCTGCGGGATAAATCGCTGCTGAGTTCCAGAGGGCGAAAAGGCCGACAAAACTAAGCCCCAACACTCCAAAATCCCATGTCTTGGACTCCTGGACATGATTCAAACCCCTCGGGGCTGCAAAGCACTGACAAAGGCTCGCTGCGTTGGAGCCTTCGGTTGTCTTGACTTGATCGACCCAGCAACTGGAGAGCCAACTGGCGGCAAGAACTTTCAACTCAGCGGTTCAGGGGTTCAGAACTTCTAACGTTGCTGAAGGCAGGGCTGACAAAGCAGGAATTGGGAAATGACAGTTGCAATTTTGAGCCCGCAACCTGAAACCTTGTGCGCGAAGACCTGATGTGCTCCCCGTGACCGGCCCCAATGGCCTGCACATTCCTTTGGGTTTCTCGACGCTGCAAGACTTAGGCTAGGTATCCCAGGTATCCGATAGCTGTTGGTGAAAATTGTTGGTTTCGTTTGCCAGTTTCATTGTCACCACCGCCAGTTTGACACGTGCACGCATACATCGGCACACAAGCTCACCTGGCAGCATCATCGAGGCGTGTGATGAAGCTGGGCGAGCCCATGACGAAGGAGATGCAGCTGTTCAAAAAGGCTGCGAAACCAGCGGAGATCCAAATGTTTCAGATGACAGCGTGTGTTTCAAGAAGGGTTCTACGATTCGAGAACTGGGGCTTGTGCAGCGGCGTCGTGATTCGGCGACTCTTTCGGGTCCGTTCAGGAATTCCTGTGTGTTTCTCCCAGATTCGATGGAAAGGACTAAGCCTAATCGACAGCTCAGGCCCAGACCTGCCCGACTCTCACCTTCGTTCCAAGCATCTTCAGTCCAAGCATAATTCAAACCGAGGCCTGGACACCCAACAGCTGGGGGAACAAATTCATTGCAGAGCACCAAATATGTTGTTAATGCTCAGCTTTGCAGTGTGTGGGGTAGGTGTTACCGGTTCACGTCAGAGTTGAAGGCGATTTGAGATCTGTCAAAGGCTTTAAGTTGAAACGTCCCGGCATGTCGAAGGCCAACACGAGTTTGACAGCTTTACTTGTTCGGTTTTGCCCGCCCTGACCTGCTCAAGGCCCTGATACCTTGACCAAAATCAACCCGAAGCCCTCCTTCCTGGAAGTTTGACAGACTTCACTGTCAGGCCTTCAATGAAAATGGACTGCAGCTTGGTGAAGCATAGAGACTGTTGAACTCTTTAAACTTTGTACTACCAGCTTACTCTGTCTATATATATATATATATGTGTTTCTGTCTATCTGTCTATCTGTCTATCTATCTATCTATCTATCTATCTATCTATCTACATATACATATACATATACGTA